CCCTCGCTCCTCCGCCGCACCGGGATTTTGGGAGCGCTAAAAACCGGTGGCTTCGCGCAGAGCTCGGAGGGGTTTGCGCCCCAAATTCGGCACCGGGGTGGGGGGGAAGGTGTGGTACAAAGAGACACACAACCCCCCGCAGACCCCCGGGCACCGAGCGGGGCCGGGCTGGGCTGTGCCCGGCTCCGGCCGCCGGAGCGATCGGGATGCGCGGCCCCCGCCGCGGAGCCGGGACCGCCCCGGTGCCCCCCCGGTGCCTCCCCGGCCCTGCCCGCCTCGGGTACGGGCATCCCCCGACCCGACGCTGCCGGGGAGGCCGCCGGCTCCGCGCTCCGCCCTAATGAGCTCCGCTTATGCATTTCCTCATTAACGAATATTTCTCCCGGCCGGGCTGGGGGGCACCGGGACTCGCTGCCCCGGCCGCCCACCGCCCGTCCCATCCAACCGGGGCTTCAGGGGGGCTCGGCCGGGCCCTCCCAGCCCCGCGGGTTGCAGGAGGCCGGGCCTGCACGCCGGGCACCCCAAATCCTGCCGCCAGCCCTGGAATAACCGTGCCCGGTTGTGGGTGAGACCCCCGCCCTGAGTGACGGGGAGACCCCCGCGTTGCCCGGGGATCTCCACCGGTAAAAGGCCCTTGGGTCGGGCTCGGGTCCTCCATCCCCCCGGTACCGGCAGGCGCAGTGTCCCCCACCCCCGGCGGGCTCAGTTTTTGGGTTGGGGGGATGGGTGGGTGGTGTATTTTGGCTCCCTGATACAGTTTTGATCAAAAATTCATTAAGAGGCGCCCGGCGCAGCGCCATCAATATTTCAGGGCTCTCGCAAAACAACAAAGTGGGTGTTTGGGGGAGAATGCACCGGGGGGAGGGGGCGAGGGGGAAAGGGAAGCAGCCCCCGGTGAGGCGGCGAGGAGGGAGCGGCCACCTCCGTTCCGTCGGGGCCGCGGCCGCTCGTGGCCAGCCCCGGGGCTCGTTCCGGCCCCGTTATAAGGCGTGGAACAGTTCCGGGAGCAGAGACCGGCCCCCGTCGGAGCGGGCGGCTGCAGGGACACGCGGTGCCCAGCCCCGGGGCCACCGCGACAGCCCGGAGCGTCCCCGGCCGTGCCCGCGGTCACGCGTGGCCGCGGGGCTCTGAGGGGCCGCGCCTGCCCCGGGACAGGCCCGGTGCTCTCCCAACGGGGGCAGGGCCGAGGGAAGGGGGCAGCGGAGGGACCAGGGATGTGTCCCCTCGGTGGCACCAGCACCCTGAGGGACACGGATCTTTGGCCCACACCCCCCCCGGGCTGGGATCCGATGACACGGGGCTGCTCCCCCGGGGCTCTGGGGAGGGGACAACCCCCCCATAAACCAACCCATCCGTCTTTGCCCAGCAAGGGGACACCCTGATGGCAAGGCGCACAGCCCCCCAAATCGGGGTGCACACCCTGGACAGCAACATCCCCCACCCCGCGCTGGGAGAGGAACCGGCACCGACCGGGAGACAAAGCCCCACCGGCTCCGCAGCTCCGAGCGCTGGAGCCCAGCACCCCCCCGGAGCAGCACAGACCCCGCCGTGCTGGCTCTGCAGGTAACTGGGCTTCACTGGGGCAGCTCTCGGGCCAGCTGGGAAGGGGACAGGGAGCTACAGAGGACAGGAGATGGCCCAGACCCCTCCGCGGTGGGCCAGGACCCCGTGGGATGGACGGCGGGGGACACAGAGCGAACGCAGATGCTCTGTGGCTTCCCAGTGTCACCCCGAGCGCTGTCTCCCCCTTCTCCCTCCCTAGTAAAGCTGGGGGTCCCTGGGTGCCACCTTTGGGTCCAGTGCAATGGGACACCCCCCTCTCCCCTGCGCTGGGGTCTCAGGGCAGGCAGGCAGCGACACGAGGCTGGGGCAGAGGGGCCTCTCTGCAGCACCAAAGCACCCCAGGGCACCCCAGGGCACCCCCCAACCCCAGTTTAGGACCTGTCGCAATGGGCGTTACTGGACCTGCAGGTGCCGGTGGATTTCGTGGCTCCGGTGGCTCCGGGTCTCCCGCTCTGCCCTCCGGGTCCCGCCGGCCATTCCCATGTCCCGGTGGTGGGATGCGATCAGTCCTGCCCCCCCTCCCCCCCCCCCCCCCCCCCCCCCCCCCCCCCCCCCCCCCCCCCCCCCCCCCCCCCCCCCCCCCCCCCCCCCCCCGCCCCGGCAGCCCCGAGCCCCTCCCCGGGGCTCACCTCGCCCTGACATTTCCTGGCGCTCCTTCCATGCCAGCGGGTTGCCATAGCAAATCTAAATCTTACAAACAAAACGGGGAGAAAAGCCTGATTAGCATATATTCAAATGAGCCGTGCAATAATGCAAACCATAAATCATGCAGTCATTGCTATTCAATCAGTGCCTCTTACCCCAGCCCCCACACTTTCGCCGGGTGTCTCGCCTCCTCCTTCCACGCACAAGCCCCTTCCCAGTCCCGAGGGTGGCCCAGGAGGGGACCCACCATCGGAGGGGAGGGGGTGGCCTGGGCCGAGCCTGGATCCAGCCCCGGGCTGCGGTGGCTCCTCACAGCCCCTAATCCCGGCTGGTATTTATGTCGCTCTATTAAACGGGGCAAACTCTTCCCAGGCTTAATCTCCCGCCCAGGTTTTAATCTCGGGGCTTGGCTCAGTAATCCCCCCCCCGGCCGTGGGAAGGGGCCCAGCTCAGCGCTGGACCCCCCCTCTACCCCCACCTGATCCCCACCTGGGGGTGCCCAGGCAGCGCTGGGGGGGACCCACCACCCCCAGCAAACACCCCTGTGGGGCGGTGGGCACTGCAGGGCCCCGGTGCCCCCCTCCTCACTCACCTCCCAGCAGTGTGGCTGTGGCTGTGCCCACCAGGCCCCGTGGGATGATCCCCCACCCCAAAAAGCGGCAGAACCCCCATGCCCAGCCTGGGCCTGAGCTCTGAGAGACACAGCTCAGCTGGGCCGGGCCCAGCCCTTCGCTTAACCCCCCGCTTGCCCCGCCGATGCCAATCTTAAGGGCACAGAGGGGGATTGTCCTCCTGCCACCCGCTCCCAGCGCCAGGCTGTGGCACTGAGACCCTCTGAGCAGCTTTTTGGGGTCACTGAGGGGTGGGGGCAGCACGGCCGGGCCGCAGGGACCTGGCCAGCCTGGGGGTGACCCAGCTGTCACCCACCCTGCTGGCCATTGACCCTGGAGAGGTGGCTCTGAGCCAGGGGGGACACGAGTGGGACAGCAACGCTGAGACAAAAGGGCCAATTCCCCTCCCTGGGGACATTAACGACCTGTGCCACCCCAAGGCGTGTGCCCAAGAAGCTCAACATCAGACACCCCGACACCCCCAGCTCTTTATTGGTGAGAAGATAATAATAAATAGAAAAGAGCCCCCGGATGGGGGAGGGATGGCACCCACCACCCCGGCTGCCCCCTCCCTTTCCCCATCACACCCCTCCTTCACTGCGGGACCCCGGCAGCCCCCTCTGGACGCAGGATTGGGCCGGGGAGGGTGGTGGGGGGGGTGCAGGGTTGGAGCTGCTGCTGGTGCTCTCAGTCCTGCTGCCACCGCGTGGCACTTCCCAGCCATTCCCGCTCGCTGGGGACACTCCGGAGCAGGGACAGGAGGGGATGGGCAGTGCCCGGCACCGGGCAGGGCACGGGGGCAGCGCTCCTTGCCCCTAGGGGGGGGTCCTGGCCTTGCAGGGGTCAAGGGGGCAGCGCAGCGAGCCGGGGGTGGGGTGGGGGTTGGTGGCATGTGGGGGCACCGAGGCGGGGGGGACAGGGACCCCGCGAGAAGCCCTGTGGCTTGCAAAGGACACGGGGGGCTCCCCGAGGGTCTGAGGAGGGGGGCGAAGCGGGGGCTGCTCCCCCTAAGCACGGCTCCCCCCACCCCCCGCGCCCCCCTCGGCCTCGCTATCTCTGCCAAACGTCCAAGGGCTGCGCCCGCCGAGGGGGCACCGCGACCCTCTGCTCCTCCGCCGGCGGCCGGGGGGCTCCGAGGGGGTAGGGGTACCCCTTGGCATAGTCATCCCGGGGCTGGAGGTCTCCGGAGCCTCGGGAGGCTTCGCTGAGGGACGCCAGGCTGGCCAGGGGGGGCTGGGGGGTGCCCGAGGGGCAGCCCAGCCCCGGGGAGACCCGCTCCGACTTGATGCTGATGGCTTGGTGCTGCGGGGAGGAGCCGGGGGCCGGGGGAGGGTCCTCGGCAGAGACGATCCGGCCGCTGACCCTGGGGCAGGAGGGGAGGAGGGTGAGGCCGGGGATCCCTGCATGCCCTGCTGGGGGGTGCAGGATGGAGAGGGGCTGAGCTCACCCCCGCTTTTCATCCCTAGGGGGGCTGAGACCCCCCCAAAACTCATGTCATGCCCCGGCTCTGGCCCAGCTGGGCACTGGGCAGGTGCCCATCCCGCTGCTGGGAGCCTGGTGTGTGACCAGGAGGTGCACGTGGGGACCGGCTCTGTGGGGAAATCTGGTTGGGAGTGGGCTCTGCCAACAGTGGCGAGCTGGGGGGGCTTCTGGGGTGACCCTACACAGCCCAGTTTTGGGGTGAAGCTGGACAGGCACCAGCATGGAGGACACTGGTAGCAGGAAGGTGGCACCCACGAGCAGACACCCCACGCCCCCCTGTCCCCCACCCCGCAGTGCCCCCCTCCTTACCCCAGTGCCGCCACGTCCCGTGGGTGCTGCCACACCGGGGGGCCGGGCTGCAGGAACCCGGGGGGCGGCGGGACCTCTCCAGCCCCAAAATCTGCTGGGCAGGAGGTCAGGAGTGAGCAGGATCCAAGGGAAGGGGGTTCCACATATGGGTGGTGTAGTGGGGGAGGGTGTAGATGCCCTCCCAAGGCTGAGGGACCAGGACTCACCTGCCTGGGAGGGGCTGAGGAAGGGGAAGCCGGCGAGGCCGTGGCTGGGGATGCTGGAGCTGCCCGGGGTGAGGACGGGGCTCAGGGTCTGCAGGGCCGGGTACAGCGGCCGCTGTGGGACAGCGAGGTCACCTCGTCAGGCTTTTGAGCCACCAGAGCATCTCCCCCCACCCCGGGCCCTTCCTGCGCCCCCCCAGCACAGCCCCGCTGCTGGGCTGGGCAAGGGGGGGTGGGAGGAGCTGGATTTGGGGAGGGGACACCGCCCTGGACTCACCACGGTGCCGCCACCGCCCCGGCCGCTCGCCAGGCTGCCCTGGCCTTCCCCACGCCGACCCTCGGCCCCCAGGAACAGCGGCGGGGGCGTCTTGGTGGCCAGGGCTCGGTTCAGGCTGCCCGCAGGGAACAGGGGGTAGCCGAGACCTGCAGGGACAGAGGGACAGGAGGATGCAGGGGGTGGCTCCGAGGGGTGTGGGGATCCCCCACGGGTGTGAGGGTGGCAACCCTGGTGCCCTCGTTGCCGTGGGCCGTGCCGGGACAGCGGCCACGTCCTCCGGGGCCACGGGCGCAGCTGGGCTGTGGCCACGGGCTGTGACAAGAGATGACACATGGAGGCAGTGCCAGCAGGTGCCAGCCCCCTCTCCAGGAGCTCCCACACCCCAGATCCCCACAGAACACCCAGGACCTCCCATGGGGGGACACCCATCACCCCAAGGAGACTCACGGGGATGCTGCACGCTCACATCCCCACCCACCTCCCACCCACCCCAGGGGGAGCGGGGGGGTGGTTTCCACCGGTCAAAGCCCAGCATCTTTTTATTTTCCATCAGCTTTTTCTGCCATGTGGGCCTGGAGGCCGCCAGGTGCCCGTTGCTGCTGGGCAGGATGAGCCCCTCGTGCTGTGCCAGGCGGGAGGGGGACCGTGGGTGCAGGGTGAGGGGCCAGCTGGGTGCCAGGTGCTGGGAGGGGGCAGGAAGCAGCTGGAGGGGGGGGCCAGGGCCGGTGTTTCCACAGCTGGAGCTGCTGCAGCTCTCCCTGCCCACGCCCGGTAAAGCCCCGGGAGACACCGAGAGAGGAGCTTTGCATGCGGGGCCTGGCCGGGAAAACCCCCGCGGGGTCAGCGGGGTCGGGGCGCTCAGGGTGGGCATGGGGTGCTCAGGGTGGGCATGGGGTGACTGTGGAAAGGACGGGGTGACTGTGGCAGGGTTGGGATGTCCATGGTGGGAACAGGGTGCCCGTGGTGGGGTTGGGATATCCACGGCAGGGATGGGGTGCCCATGGAGGGGTTGGGATATCTGTGGCAGGGATGGGGTGCCCATGGAGGGGATGGGGTGCCCACGGAGGGGATGGAGGCCTGTGGAGGGGATGGGGCACCCACAGCAGGGATGGGGCACCCGTGGCAGGGACCCTCTCCCCCACACCCAGCTCCCTGCAGGGTCCCAGCCTACCTGGGGGCAGCGGCCCCGGTGACCGTCCCGGTGGCTTCGGGGCCGCCGGTTTGAAGGCGGGGGAGCGGCCCTGGCTCTGGGGGGAGCTGCTGGCACTGCCCAGGGACATGTCCGTGGCTGGGGGGGAGCTGCCGTAGGCACCCTCGGGCAGCGGCACCGGGCTCTGCTGGGGACACACACGGGTCAAGGACAGGGAGGGGACGGGGACTCTTGGGGACCCCTGGGGACCCTCGGGGCTGTGCAGAGAGAGGCAGAGGTGGAAGGAGGGGACCCCCGGAGCCCTGTAAGGCAAAAGAGAGGTCAAGGGAGGGGATGGGGGCTCTCTGGGACTCTCAGGGCTCTGCAGGGCCGAGATCACGGACAGGGGAGTGGATGGGGGTCTCTGGGGGTCCCACTCCACCCGCCATCAGCGACTCACGTAGAACCTGGGCCGCGCCACCGACAGGTCGACGCCCTCGCTCGGCCTCCGCCCCTTGTCCCCCGGCTCGGGGCCCTCGTCCAGCTCCAGCTCGTGGCTCTCCAGCCCCAGCCCCTTGCGCTTCAGCGTCTGGGGGGGCAGCAGGGCCATCGGGGGGGGGTCCTGCAGCCGGCCCAGCCCTCCTCCTCCTCCTCCTCCTCCCCCTCCGGGGCCGCCCCCCGGGCCGCTACCTCGAGGATGTCGGAGTTGGTGCGGCTCTCGTGGGGCTCGCTGTACTCCGTGTACTTGAGCAGCACCTTGTCCATGTCGGTGCTGGCGTACTGGAAGAGCCGGTTGGTGCTGTTGAAGATGATGAGGGCGATCTCGC